AAAATTAAATTGTTTAACATTTGTTATTATACAGATGTCAAAAACAGAACACCAAAAATAAACAAATACAATTTTAAAACAGGAGGGAAGAAACAACAATGGGAAAAATAAAACAAGCAACAATATAAAAATAAAAAAGAAAGAAATATGAAGAGATAGGCCTAAATCATCAAGATAATTGCTATATTCATTAAGTTTAAAAAATATATATTATTTTGAATTACTGACTGAATAACCCTGTCAACACTTATGCTTATTGGGAGGCGACTGTTTGCACTCCGCACAGTAGGGGTCGCTGCATGTAAAAACAACAAAAAAATAATCCTCTTTGCCTGTTCCTCTTTTTCCGGGAGCATGCAAAACATTCAGGGTGAGCTGACATTGAGCTGTATGTATAGCTGGCTGCTAGTGGAATGCTGGATGCCCACTTTGTGCACAGGGTTCCATAGAATCAGATTTGTGTAAGCTTATTTTGTGTGTTGGCACCAGCAGAATTTGTCTACATACAATATAATTACACTGACTCATGGAGCAAAGAAAAAGGCTGTTTTGGTTAACCCCTTATGTGCCAGAGTAGTCATTATTACACTGTGGCAAAGATCTGGTAAAATGTGGCTGCAGTGACACTAAAATAGTAAACTTAATTCTGCAATAACATTTTAGCACAGTGTAAATGTAATAAAGGACAAGGATAGTGTTTTCATGTTGTAGCACATTTTGTTTGGCCAATGTGTTACCTGCATGCAAGTGTACGTTTAAAACACACTGCTGTGAGTAATTAGTGGTAGACTCCAAACGTTATATTGTCTCTAGCTTTCATTGCGTTATCTCTGTTCAATTATATACCCACCTACAGTGCTTTCAATCTTGTTCTTTTATTAATATTTGGTTCTATGATCAGTCTTAAACATTTAGAGGCTTATTGTAAAACTGGATTTTAATTTGCAGGTAAATAGCTGTTTTGGTCAACATCCATTGATTATGGGAACCGGCTTTATACTATAGAAATCATTCTTTATAGACTTAAAGGGCCCCAATAGTCACCAGAACAACTACAGCTTACGGTATTGTTGTGATGTCTATATCCTGTCACTGCAGGCTTTTTGTTGTAAACACTGCCTTTTCTGGAAGAAAGGGCAGTGTTTAACATTGCTGCCTTGGGATACTTCCAGTGGCAGTCACTCGTTCAGCGTCTCCACCCTTTGCATGAAGACACTGAACTTTCCTCATAGAGATGCATCAATTCATTGCATCTTTATGAGCAGATGCTGATTGGCCAGGCCAGAGTTTTTACATTTTTCTTTTAAGGAGGGCTAAATAAATATACATACACACAGGGGTATGTGTACCGCGAGGAAAACAAGGCATTTGCCTTGGGTGGCACTTTCCAGGAGGTGGCAAAAAATGCCGCCCCCAATTGCCCAGGCAAATACCCTGTTTGCCTCGTTTTATGGAAGCCCAAGAGGTGGCAGGCTTGCGGCATCATTCTGTGTGTGTGTATGCAGTGGTGTATTTAGGTTTTGTGCTGCGGCACCCCCTTAAGTTAAATCTTCCCCATCTCTTCCTGTCAAAGCCACACTTTGACTGACAGACGCATACGCTCATTGACAGACACACACTCTCATATACACTGACAAACAATGACATACACACACTGATTTCATACACTGATAGACAGACATACACTGATAGACAGACATACACTGTGGATATGAGTGTGTGTGTTTCAGTGTATGTGTGAGCGTCTGTCAGTCAGTGTATGTCTGTCTATCAGTGTATGAAATCAGTGTGTGTATGTCATTGTTTGTCAGTGTATATGAGAGTGTGTGTCTGTCAATGAGCGTATGCGTCTGTCAGTCAAAGTGTGGTTTTGACAGGAAGAGATGGGGAAGATTTAACTTAAGGGGGTGCCCGAGCACCGTCCTGCCTAGGGCAGCACAAAACCTAAATACACCACTGCATACACACACACAGAAAAAAATACTTACCTCTATCTCTGCCTTGCTTAAAATTCCAAGGCTCTGTTAACCCTCACTGACATCTGTTTTTCAACCAGGATTTGGCTGATTTTTCTCAATTTCTGGTGTCATGTTGAGAAGAATGGGACAACTACTGTGGATGTATGATGTCACATAGGTGCATGCCTATTAATTTCCCTTTCAGGCTAATGGTACCGTCAAATGCATTCAAAATACAGCCACTCAAACTTTGCCTTCACATATAATGATAAAAATAATCAGTGGGAGCCACTTTCAAAAGTGAAAAAAGTAGTCAGTGGTCTAGTACTAATTGTTGCAAAACGTTTACGTGGTAGAAGAACGTGCGCTTTCCCCCTCCCCTTTTTGTTATGTGCTGCTTGCAGTGGGTTTAGCAATGGTATCCATGCTGTAAATCATCCGTTAAATTAAAAATAGATTTCCTTTTTCATGTTCATTATGTTATTAGCATAATTTGAAATATTGTCATCCAAACGTGTGGAAGTAAAGATGTCACAATCTTCAGAACCCTCGGGTGTAAAAAGTGAGGCTCCAAAAGAGAAGGACTATCGTACCCCCGGATTAAGAGGAGTGAAAACTACGACTCTCTTTCGAGCTGTGAATCCGGAGCTTTTCATCAAACCTGTAAGAAGAAAAAAAAACCTTATTCATTTTAACCCTTTAGAAAACAGATTGTGAGAACTGTAAAATGCTAAATTTTGTTCTTAAAGACTATATTCCGGCATGGAATGTCCTGGCCATTTTTTGCCTGCTACAATCAGCCCAGCAGATCAGGACCGGATTAACATAGGGACTGATGGATCTTAAGCTCCAGGCCCATGCCTCTGGAATAGACCGATTGACTTAAAAACAAATATATATAAATATTTTTTTAACTACTCTTCACATGTTCTGCTTAACCTCTTAAGGACACATGACATGTGTGACATGTCATGATTCCCTTTTATTCCAGAAGTTTGGTCCTTAATGGGTTAAAGGGACACTCCAGGCACCCAGACCACTTCTGCCCATTGGTGTGGTCTGGGTGCCAACTCCCACTACCCTTAACCCTCCAAGTGTAATAATTACAGTTTTTTTATAAACTGCAATAATTACCCTGCAGCGTTAACTCCTCCTCTAGTGGCCCTCTACTAAACAGCCACTAGAGGGCACTCCCTGCTTCATAGCACAGAAAACCTGTGCTATAGAGTCGCTGGACGTCCTCACGCTGTGTGAGGACCTCCAGCATCTCTCAATTCCCCATAGGAAAGCATTGAAAAGCATTTTCAATGCTTTTCTATGGAGAGCTCTATTGCGTATGCGCGACATTGCTGCGCATACGCAATAGGTCTCCTCAGCCGTCGGGCGGGATCAGTCTCCCCCACCGGCCGACGTAATGAAGAGGAGGAGCAGCGGTGACCCAAAACCACCGCCAAGGGACATCAGTGGGGGTCTCAGGTAAGTGACTGAAGGGGTTTTCACCCCTTCAGCAGCCGGGGATGGGGGGTGGGAGGGAGAGGGGACCTGCAGTGCCAGGAAAACAGATTGTTTTCCTGGCACTGGAGAGTCCCTTTAAGTATGGAAACTCAAGAGGGATGTAGGGAAACAAAACTGGTGTGGACTGGCTGACAAAAAAATTAGTTAAAGGACCACTATAGTGCCAGGAAAACAAACTAGTTTTCCTGGCACTATGTAGTCCTTAGGTCCCCCCACCCTCATGGCCCCCCTCCCGCTGGACTGAAAGGGTTAAAACCCCTTCAGCCACTTACCTTTCTCCAGCGCCGGGCTCCCTCAGCGCTGATGACCTCTCCTCTCCCTCCGACGTTGGCTCCCGAGCCCAATGCGCATGCGCAGCCAGAGCCGTGCGTGCTTTAAAAAAGCCCATAGGAAAGCATTACTCAGTGCTTTCCTATGGACATCAGCATCTTCAATCGCAGAAGTGGCCTCTAATGGCTGTCAGTAAGACAGCCACTAGAGGCTGGATTAACCCTGCAGTGTAAATATATATCCGAAACTGCTATGTTTTCAGTTGCAGGGTTAAAACGGGAGGGACCTGGGTGCCTATAGTGGTCCTTTAAGGTAAAGCTGACTTTGCCCACTATGCAAATGCTTTGCTGCTTCAGTCTCTCTAACACTGTGGTATGTTCTATTTTTTTCTACACTGCGTAAATACACGTTTTCTCTGTCCCAGAATGTATAACAGGAGCTTCTGCGTGCTAGTAAGATGGTTAGGAGAGGAGTGGACCAGCGAGTGCTAGAGGACACACCTTAGAAAGCTTAGAGCTAGCGCATTATTAGACGCATTTATGCCTAGCTCAGGGTGCTGTCTGTATAGTATGCCCTTGGTTGGTCATCCTGCATGATTGGCAGGAAGCCTAATGTGCATTCACGCCAGGCTAACCATCTAATTATTTGTACAGACCTGCCCCCTTTTTAGGCATGTTTGTCCAAATATGAAAGCGAGTGATTAGCATAGGGTATGCGTTTTCTGATAGCAATGTCCTGTGAGTTTCCCTCCAGCACCACCTCCAGCAGACACATAATGCTTGGGAGGTATAACTGTTTTAGTGTTTTCTGTCGATATTTTGTAATTAGGCGCATCATAGCTGTAAGCACCAGGCCCAATGGGCTCTTAATGCGGCCATGCTGCTCATATAAATGATAGGGGCATTCCATTATTGGTACAGGATCCTAAAAGGAATGCTATAGAATTAGGAATACAAATTTGTATTCATAACGCTGTGGTGTTCAATGCACTTAAAAAAAACTCCTTCTTGACTCCAGAATGGCAGTTAGATATCTTATTGGATCCCACTAATTAAATATTATATCTGTTTATTAAGTATTTATACAATCCAATTGCTGTTTAAATATCTGTATAGACTCTTATAAACCCACCTCTTCAGGCAGAGAACTCCACATTCTTATTGTTCTTACTGTAAAAAAAAAAACCCTTTCCTTTGTTTTAGACTGGGTCTCCTTTCTTCCAGTTTAAATCGATGACCTTGTGTCCTATGTATTTATTTTAAGCACTTATACTGATATTTGTTTAAACAAGCAAATTAAATTAAAGGTATTAGTGGGAAAATAAATATTTTCCTTTAATTACTTAGTTCTCACTGACAGCTCAATTATTGTGAACTTGGTGTAAAGCTAGAAAAACAAACCTACCGTATATACTCGAGTATAAGCCGAGTTTTTCAGCACATTTTTTGTGCTGAAAAACCCCAACTCGGCTTATACTCGAGTCACTGTCTGTATTATGGCAATTTACATTGCCATAATACAGACTGGGGGCTGGCAGAGCTGTTACTTACCTCTCCTGCAGCTCCTGTCAGCTCTCTCCTCCTCCGCGCCGGTCCGTGCAGCACCTCGGTCAGCTCCCAGTGTAAGTCTCGCGAGAGCCGCGGGGTCATAGTGCGGCTCTCGCGAGACTTACAGTGTGAGCTGACAGAAGAGCTGCACGGACCGGCGCGGAGGAGGAGAGAGCTGACAGGAGCTGCAGGAGAGGTAAGTAACAGCTCTGCCAGTCCCCTTCCTCCCCCCACTGAACTGCCAATGCCACTGGACCACCAGGGAAGGAGAGCCCCCCTCCCTGCCATGTATCAAGCAGGGAGGGGGGACAACAAATATATAAATATAATAATAATATATTAATAATAATAAAAATAATAAAAAATAATATAACAAAATAATAATATATACATATAAATAATATAAATAATAAAAAAATAATATAACAAAATAATTTTAAAAAATATATAAATAATAAAAATAATAATAAAAAAATAATATAACAAAATAATTTTAAAAAATATATAAATAATAAAAATAATAATAAAAAAATAATATAACAATTTTTTTTTAAATAACATCAATTAATAATATATAAATATAAATAATAATAAAAAATAATATAACCAAAAATTTTTATTTTTTTTATAAAAATGCCCACTCCCCACCAAAGCTCTGCAACACAAACACACACTGCATCACACACACACACAGCCCTCATACACACATACACTGCACTCATATACACACTGCATTTATACACACTGCATTTATACACACACTGCGCACTCATACACACACACTGCATTCATCATATACACACACTGTAAATAAATATTCAATTAATATAATTTTTTTAGAATCTAATTTTATTTAGAAATTTACCAGTAGCTGCTGCATTTCCCACCCTAGTCTTATACTTGAGTCAATAAGTTTTCCCAGTTTTTTTGGGTAAAATTAGGGGCCTCGGCTTATATTCGGGTCGGCTTATACTCGAGTATATACGGTAGATTGTCAGATATTTTAAAATAAAATGATTGCCTCATGCTTGGTTGCAATCCAGCCACATGGACGTTCCATGCATGTTTGCACCTCACCTGGCATATTCTGTAATCTATCACATAATTATTAAGCAGATTATGGGTGACGCCAAGTAAGCTGTACAAGAAAAATGTGCTAATAAACTGCAATGTAATACAATACAAAAATACCCGCTTTTAAAATGGACACTTCATCTCAATCAGGGGAGGTCTGGCAGCCTTATACCTGGGGGGCAACTGCCTCCCTGCCCCCCGCACCCTGCCTCTGGCCAGGGAGTGGGGAAGGTCACATTCCCTGGTGGTCTGGTGGCATGTTGCGTGCCCCCAGCTACCTGTACACCTCAGAGGGGCACAGCACAGTCCATCCTCACTTCCCAGCTGCTCTGCTCTAAGTCTCGTGCAGAGTGTTGCCATGGTAACCCATGGAAAGACTCTGACGACCGCGGTGCTCAAAAGACTTAGTCTCGCAGTCTACACAGACTTAGTCTCGTGAGCGCCGCGGTCGTCAGAGCATTGCCACAGGTTACGATGGCAACGCTCTGCGCGGCTCACAAGACTTATAGCCGAGCAGCTGGGAACTGAGGATGGACTGTTCTGGGCCCCCCTGCAGTATACAGGTAGCCGGGGGCCCAAAGATGCACATATGTGTGTGTGTGTGAGTGTGCATGTGGGGCCCAGGAGTCCCTGAGTAGTCCCGGACCCCGTCCCACCCCACCCCTGATCTCAATACCCCTGTCATTTTAGCCTTGCAATAAAAAAAAACAAATACTGTAGTGCTGTAAGAACACTTGCATTCTACTTGCTAGGCCATCATGGTTCACTTGATGAACTATTTGCTGGATGAAAACCCATTATATATGTAACAGCATTTTTAAATTTTCACATTGGGTTTTGTATTTTTTTTTTTCTTTCTTGTAACAGAATAAACCAGTTATGGCGTTTGGACTTCTAACAATTACACTGTGCGTTGCTTATATTGGTTACTTACATGCAACAGAAGAAAATAAAAAAGAAGTTTATGAAGCTATTGACAGTGAAGGAACACGGTACACAAGAAGGAGAACTTCCAAATGGGATTAAACTGAACTTTGGGTATCAATTATGCACATTTAATATTGTATTACATCTAAATGTTATATTTCGATTCTACACATGGTCAGGTGGCAAGACTGTTTCTTTTTAATAAGACAATGATATTTATGGAATTAAGGGTTGCTGTGCTTTGAGGTACATGAGGTGTGAACCAAAAAATAATACATTGCAGGGGTTGTATTGTTGTAGATAAAAGGAGGAGATTCACATATTTGTTTTAATATTTTTTCACTTTGATAATCCTCATCATTTTGAATCTTAATGGATCTTTTTTTTTTTATTATTATTATTTTATTTTTATATCAGAAAGGTAGTTCCCCGTTAGTACATCACTGTATAATTTCCAAAGTTTCTGTTAATTGATGCAATCATCTCAGGCTATACATGAATCCTCTTTTTTATCGAATATCTTAAAATGTAAACAATACTGTTTGACTCTTCCTGTTCACCAATAGCCATACTAAACTTATACTAAACTTGTGTACCTCCAGAGTATCCGTCTCTTTACCCTGTTATGGTCCAATGGTTTCAGAGATTCGTTCCATTCATGACCTATTTCTTTTTGGCACTTCTGCTATATTTTTATTTTACTGTAATTTAATGCTTTCTCTCTACTGGACGTTTAGGGCTTTCTTCTGATAACATATATGTATAATTAAAGTGAACCTGTTGTGAAAAAATCTACTAAACTGAAATCGCTTCCATATACATTGAATACACCATATATCACAAAGATACCTTGTAAAATATAGGGAATTACTCACATCTACTCCGTTCCAGCGCTGCCAGCTTTATGGGCGTTACTGTTCGTGTAATAACCACTTCTGGGCCATCCTCCCCCTGGCTCTTGTGTTCTTTGATTTGCCCTGCTTGGAGATGCATCCCCAAGCAAGGAAAACTTTCACAGTGACATCGGCACTCTAGCCTTGTTTCCAGTGTGCCAGTTTCAAAATGATGCTGGCTAGGGAGCTTCCATAGCAACCACAGCGCATGTGGGAGGTCTTTTATACTCTCCTTTGTCTAACAGCTGGAAGAAAAGCCTATATTTAAATAGGTTTTTAGCCTCATTTATACATTTGCTGGCAAAACAGCTTAAACAATCTATAGCTAGGGATTTTATGCTTAATTTTATGAGCAAAACTTGTTTGGGGCATGACAGGTCCCTTTTAACACAACTGTAATTATGGGGGGAATTCTCAGTTTTGCTCACAATACCCTCTACACAACTAGTGCATACAGGATAGAGAGCCTGATTGACAGGCATTGGATCACGTTGATATACTAATACAGCAATCTGAAGCTCTGAGCATCTTGTTAACATTATTGCTGGATGTCTCATGCATGTCTCACTACCACCAAAGAATTTGGATGGCGACGATCATCCCTCTTTGTGGCATGATACCACGGCCATTGGGTGCCTTTAGCAGCAAGGGCATGGGAGCAGTCTTATTCTAGATTTACCTACCTGTCAGGTATCTGGAAATAGTCAGGTCTCCCTGTGATCAGGGACACTTAGTTTAAATTGCAAATTTTATACAGTACGTCTCCAGTCATGAAGGGGTTAAAGCGACACTCTGAACCCCCAAAGCACTTTAGCTAGCTGAAGTGCTTTATTTGTGAAGAGTCTGTCCTTTTTATTTTTTTTTTTCTTCATTTCATTTTACAAAGTGCAGATTTCAATAGAAAGTGGCACTTTTATAAATTAAATGAGCACTATAGTGTTAAGAATACAAATATGTTTTCCTAACACTATAGAAACCTTCTACCCCACCCCCTCGAGCCCATCACCACGACAATATAATGGGTTAAATAACCTTTTAAACTCTTACACGATTCCAGCAGCGTAGTACCAAACCGCTGGGTAAGTGTCCTCCTCCGCTGTCAGACGATCTGGACAAACCTATGATTGATACAATGCTTTCCCATGGAGATTCTAAAAACGCTGAAATTCCTCGTACAAAGCGTGAGGACGTCCAGCGTTGTTTCACGGAGTTAAACTCTGTGAAACTGCAGGATGCACGTCTAGTGGCTGTCTGGTCTAGTGTGCCGTGTAGGAAGTATTATCCCTGCATTGTAAACAGTGCAGTTTCTATAAAAATGCAATGTTCTACATTGCAGAGTTAATGGGACAGGAACACTGCGTCCACACCACTTTAATGAGATGAAGTAGTCTGGGTGCCTATAGTGTCCCTTTAAGCTTGTTACATCCCTCTGACCTTCAAGCAGACAACAGGTTCTGTTACTTCCTGATTTGTATAGCTCAGTGGAGCTAAACTCAGAGGCAGGAAATTGCTCACAGAGCACCTGCCTTGCAAAGATTTCTCATTGAGCTTCATTGGTATGTCTGTGATTGGACAGCCACAGAAAATCTGGGCTGGGAAAGAAGGTGTGGGCTTGCAAAGGCTTCAGATAAGAGAACTTGCAAGCAGTTTTTTGATATACCCAATGAAAAAATGCTTAGTTAAACGCATGCATGTTTTAATCCAGGGTAAATGTACAAAACCGTGATTATTTGTTATTTTATATTTGGGCAGTGGAGTGTCCCTTTTAATGCCACCAGATACTTATTAAATGGCTTATAGAAAATGTATCCAAAAGGTTTTTTGGAAAGGCAGTAAGTAAAAGTTTCCTGGAGCAGTACATTTGAGGGCACTTCTATCAAAGCATAGAACATTTGGATCCAAGAATTAGAAGATTTTTGTTTATTAGAACATTCTTCAGAAGACCAGCCTATATGGGCTTAGTTGGCATCTGTGGTGAAATGTGCAGTATGGCTTAAAACCCCCCAAAAATGCTTTGTGTAAGGTAAATTTTTTTTAAAGAACTAAAATTATTCTAGCTGCCCATCTAAGAGAAAAGATCATGGGCACGGGATACATGCCCCCTATACATGTCATGGGAGGTGGAGAGGTAAGCAGCGCAGAAGGAGCATTGGTGTTAAAAAAAAAAAAGTAAGTAAAAAGTTATTTTATATCACATGGGGTGGATTTGAAAACAAATAGAGACAAGGACACTATAGCATTAGGAATACAGATTTGTATTCCGAACACTAGAGTGTTCCTTTAAAGAGGAGCTGGAAGTTCTGCTTTTAGGCCTGTAACGGCACCCCAGGCATAAAAAGGGGTTAAAAGCCATTTAGTAGATCTTCCCTTCCAGAGACACAGGCACAGCTACTGTAGACACCAATACACTGAACCGGAGAAACATATGAATGCTGTAGACAGCCAAATAGGAAAAAAACATATGAATAGGTTTACACCCCTAGCAGTCAAACTTGAACAGCATGCAATAAATCCCCCCAAGAACGAGACAAGGCTCCGTTTTGAGGGTCAAGCAGGAACAGACAGAGCTGTGGATTTATTGTTCTTATATACACATTCTTACATATTAGTACCAACCACAGGGTTTTTGAAAACAACCAATAAACACGTACAATACACTCAGACACTCCCACACAAAATCCTCCCCTCTGCCTGTGATACAATTACCTTACACAATGGGTAATGTAATTATCACCGGCAGAGAAATACAGTTTTTCCACATTATTCATAACTTGAAAAGTATGCATCACATTCACATAAACTTACATTTTCAGAATCAGCATACTCCAAATACAAACATATGTCAAAATCATCCAAATTGGTCCAGTGGTTCAAAAGATAGATCAAAGTCCTTTGTGACCAAATGAAGCATGGCTTTTCTGCCCAAAACCAGTTCCACAGAGTCTTCTATCATGGAGATAATTGGGAAGTAATCCAATTATCTCCAAGGAGAGAGGCAAAACTCCATTGAACACATGGCAGCAAAAGACAATAAAATACATAAAAATATATAACTGTGCAGCCATTGCATAAAACAGGTACATTCAACATATCCCCAGATAGCTCAGATCTGAGCGCACATTATTACTGAATGGCATTCAGATCACACACATACAGTTCAATTGCCATGGAGCCAAAGTCTTTCCCATAGTATTTCATTATACGAATGGGCTCCATGGCATAGCTATCTGGGGTATCACCGCTCAAACAGGGCAAGCACCGAATGACCCGGCTTTCGTGTCTTTGCAGGGGAAAATTAAGCATTTCAACATAGGGCCATAGTCTAAAGGCAGCAGGTGGGCAACCAGGCTCCTCCAATGCACAGTGGCGAGATTGGTCTTGTCACATCTCTCCCCTTTTCCAAACAGACTAACAGGGTATCTGACCTCCTGCCGGTCAGTGCCCTAGTTAGTCCAGCAACCCACCCATAAAACACAATTAGTAGTACAGCCCACCCACAATAAATGGTTACTACACCTGAGTACGGGGAAAAGTTGTCCATGTCCAGGTGCCTCACCAAAGCTGTGTGGGGGACTGGTATGCTGAATTGGTGGGTTGCAAGGTGGGCAGAGACCAGCTGTCACCGAATGAACCGGCTTTCATGTCTGTGCAGGGGAAAATCAAGCGTTTCAACATGGGGCCATAGTCTAAAGGCAGCAGGCGGGCAACCAGGCTCCTCCAATGCACAGTGGTGAGATTGGTCTCTTCACAAGGCCTTATTCTGTAAGGTTGACTTTTTTTTTTTTTTTTTGGAAAGACTGCAGGATCAGTACATTGACACATAACTACTTCAATCTGAAGTAGTAATTTTCCAACTAACACTGCGACTTCAAGGCTTCAAGACACAGCATTTAATTTCCTTTAAAGAAACAATACAAACATTATTCCTGACCCTATATTGCTGGTGTGGCTGTTTAGGCCTCGGGCCCCCCCATCTGTCCAGTGAAAATGTGAGTTTATGCATCTTTATTCTCACGCTGCACTGGTCTTGCTGTGACTCATCCTTGCTCAGTGGCACAAATTATCAATCTTTATAATATCAGCCAATCCAATACTTTTCCATAGTAAATCTTTGGGAGGCTATTGCGCATATACAGCAAAACGCTGTGCTGCATCTATCAGCATCTCATAGAGATTGCTTGAATCAACGCAGCGCTTGGGAAGCATTCAATGCATCCATGCAGAGCGCGGAGACGCTGACCGCTAATGGTGCACCCTGCGGCACTGACAAAGGAAGCACCTCTAGTGGCCGTCTGAGTGACTGCCACTAGAGGTGTTACTAGGGAGCAATGTAAAGACTGCTTTTTCTCCGAAAAGGCAGTGTTTACAGTGCTAAGGCTGCAGGGACATTCTATAGCGCAAGATTACTACATTAAGTTGTAATGGTTCTGGTGACTATATTATCCCTTGAAACACTACTCACCCATCCTTCCTCCTGCCCACCCTGGCATTTTATAGCAAACGTCTCCAGCTGCTTAAAATCCCACTCAATTAACTCCTCATTCCCATTACGTGTTACCAGAGGCTGCAATTACCATTTCATTTTCTCCAAATTAACCTTGCTACCTCTTGTCTCAACTCCTCATTTTAACCTCCAAACCGTAAGTGCACAGACTATTAATTACTTATTATAAAAGAGTTTCAGTAGCTGGAACTCATCTCAAGGACAAGGCCCTTTTTACCTTTTGTATTGATATATGTATATTGTACAGTATTGTTCCCCAATTGTACAGTGCTGCAGAGTGTAGCTTTTCTTTAAAAGGACACTCAGTGCAATACGTATATAAACATAATCGTTAACTATAGCCAGCAAAATATTTTCCATTGGTCGTATGTTAAAATGTTAAACGTTTCAGTAATAAAATGTACTTCATGTGTTACTATGCTGCTTACTGTACATGGGCTTTGAGACTTCACATGGACTGTGATAGTTTATTTTATTATGACATAACTGCAAGTGACAACACCAGATATCTGCATGCACAGGAAGTGTGCTGTTACTTTGGCACTGAACTATTCTCTGCTTATGCCAATCCCGAAAATGAAAATACACATTTCTTAATTTGCAGTGAATTACTTCAAGAGAGTTCTGTGAGATCTCAGCAATAATATAATGGCACAAAAATATCTGGATGTATATATAAATTCCAGACTATCATCAGCAGTACCTTCTGAGTACAACCCTGTGCTTACCTACAAGCCAAATGCAGTGCGATACTACACCCACCATGATATACTAAGTAAGTCAGCAAATGGGTCATGATCTAATTTAACTGTTGTATGATTGCTAAGGGAAGGTCACATGGAAAAAAAATACACTGGTTATCCACTTATCTTAATGTTTCACATACCACAATGCAAAGACTGTTATTTCTGTGTACCTATTGTCAGTAACTAAAGTATCGGTATTGACTTATTAGTGTAGTTCTACTATCTGGAAGTGCCAATAAACTAAATTTTTACTTAAGTGCAAAATATTAGTTGGTGGTGGTCCAGACACATGTATGAGGGGCTTTCTGTACTGTAAAGTATTCTTATACTGGAATAAATCATTTCTACTTTGGATTTTTTTTGCCTGATTGCTTGTCCTAAGACTTTTGAGCTTGAACATATGAAGATTGTAACATTTACAGTACCTGGGCCAGCCACAGAATTTGTGGTGTGCGTGGTGAGAAATATTAACGAGAACCTCTTTTCACCATTAAATCTCATCTTTAAAACTTGCACTTGCTACTAATTTTGCTGTATAAAGGATTACTATATGTTGTTTTGTTAACCCCGTTCACCCACTTTTGCTGCTCTCCTCATTTATATATTGCATTATATTATATATATTACATTATATATACACTGCAAGTTATATCCTTCATCTATATTCACATATCCCTCCAAGATATTCCCCTCCCTCAAACTGTCATCTGTTCCCCCGCTAGTTAATGACAACAACCACATTCACTCTGCTCTATAACCAACATCCCCACAATTCCCAACCCATCTTTAAACAAACACTCTCAATTTAAAAATAAATATATTATTTTTTGTCTGTAGTGTTTTTCTTTGAGCACTGAGATACATTAAAGTGACATTACATGTAATGAACTTAAAAAAAAGAAAAAAGTGAAAATGCAATTAATCTCTATGAGGAAAGTTCAGTGTCTGCATGCAGAGGGTGGAGACACTGAATGATGTGATGCACACTAGGCAATACTGAGATAGGAAGCAGCTCTAGCAGCCATCTAAGGGGTGGCCAGTGAAGTTCTCACTAGGCTGTAATGTAAACACTGCATTTTCTCTGAAAAGACTGTTTTTACAGCAATAAGCCTGAAGGTAATGATTCTACTCACCAGAACAAATTCAATAAGCTGTAGTTGTTTTGGTGACTATAGTGTCCCTTTTAGAATATCAAAGTACGCTTCTTATAAGGTATGATTTTGCTGCACCACTGAAATGGGTACTGATAGTGTGTACATTATTATACATGACAAGGTTTTATGTTTGAATTCCAGGTCTACATTAATCTATATATGCATCCGTAAAAATATTTTAGGGTTTTGTTCAGGGTCTATATCAGGTTGAGATCATTAATTTTGTCATTGTAGAAATAGGATCTAAAATTCATCACCAGATGCTTGAAGATCTTGAAGAAGAAAAGGAAAGATGCATTCAAGAAGCTGTGTTAGCTGAACAAGCACTGGTACTGCATTTCATTTTATGAATCAATATAAAGAGAATTGATGATTAATTTCTCTATATGAATTATCCATGCAGCTTATGTGATTGCTTTTTCTGGAAATGTTGACTGGTCTACATTAAACTAGTCAAATATAGTTATTTGTGGTCGGTGCAATATTGCCGTAATGGTTAGAGAACACATTATTAGCAATAAACTGGGCAAAAAAAAATAAAGTGTGCAGAAAGAAGTGTACCATACAAATATATTTGTTTAACAATACCTCAAAATTACTTGAATAAGTCACGAAATGCCTGACAAACCCTAACCGGTTCCGATATAGATAATGTATAACAAGACAATTTCCATCGTCCCATGCTGTCTGTCGCCGAGTCCGGACGTGATTCGTGGAGTAGTCCTAGCTCTAAGGGATGCTGGACTAACTGTGTATACTCTGCGAGATTGAGCGCCAGGCCTTGCAGAGGTGTTGGGTAGTGGGCACCCAGATCCCTAACAACCAGTACTATCTGCTAATAGGAGACCTCAGCATGGGCCAGATCGTGGACCCATTGTAGAATGGTGTCCGAGAACGTATGCCTCTCTGTTGCCAGATTGTGGATCCATTTAGAATAGTGACTGAGCACGTATGCTACAGCGTGGACTGGATCGTAGACCAGAATAAATGAAATCACTTACCCACCTGGAGGACACAAGGCAAGAAAGACAAATGCTGCCAGGAAGGATGAGCTTCTCGGCAGGACCACGGTTGGACAAATCGTGCCGCCCAGAGAAGTGAACCTGAGCCTAAACCATAGAGGAGGGAAACTGAGGAGGGTATAGGATCATGGCCAAAAACCAAACACAAAATAGCGACCAACCCAGAAACGACTAACGGTCAAGAACCAGCAGGCAACACCGGAGAAGGAACAGAGAGCAACCAAAGCACGGAACATGTCAGCAACCATCACGAAGGCATAACCGAGCAAACCAGAGTGCAGAAAATTGCACAAAACGCGAACAGGACATAGGGAAAACCAGACACATGGTAAGAGACGAACACGATAGCAAAACACCACAGCCAAACACCCACACAAAGCATACCCAGATACAACAAAACACACAAAGCAGAGCCTCACATCCGCAACACCACAAACCCAGCCAGTAGCATAGCAAGCGAGAAACCCCAGCAATACAAAAACGGAGATGAACGACCACCCAACCCAGCAATACAGACCCGCCCGGAAAGACCTGCAACATGACGGCTGAACAAGGCATGAAACAGCAAGACACACACACGAGCACTACAGCCCATACACCTGTGGAAGGCCAGGAAAACAGCTGAACAGCCCACAACTCAAGCCCTAAAAAAAAAAAACCTGCGTCCAAGAAAAAAAAAAAATAGACCCACTCGACAGCTCAGCAACCCACCCAGCCAAGCCCCCCGCCTGTCACGACAGTGACTAATGTCACAACAGTGACCCCTTCACACAGCGTGAAACCCACAGAAAGACGGTTACCGGACCTTAGAATGGCCGGACTAGCGTCAGAGAATAGTCAAAGGAATGGCCAGAGGTCAAGGGAATACGGAAGACGGGCACACGATTATCCAAGCCAAGTAACGGGAAACCAGAAAACAGAATAGTCAGAGAGATAGCCAAGGGTCAATTACCAAGAAGGACTAACGGATAAGATAGCACCAGGGGACTTAAACAAGAACCACACTAGGGCATCTGACAAGTGTCATGATAGCCCTATTATAGTGTGGGTTCTTTGGCTTTAATTTTGTAGCCACGCCCCCAAAAAGTCCGGGAGCGTGGCCACGTTTGAATTTTGGCGGCATTTTCTTTCTGACGTCGGCGTCATAAATGTAGGCGTGTTCCGAGCGGCCGGCGTCAGAAGAGCTGAGCCGTCCCCCGGAAGTATCGGAGGAGGACCCGGCGCTGCGCGGGACCGGCGGGTAAAGGTAAGCGCTCGTTACACCGCCCACCACCACCTAAAAATTAGACCGGAAGAGGTAAGAAACAACCCATCCCAAAAGGAGAGAGAGAGAGTGTAGAGGCAGCCCAGAGCCTAGTGCAAGATAGCTATGCAGCCGGAATGCCCAGGTCAGGCTGCTCCACCCTGCACCTATGGCTGCTCAATACCAAGGTGCCACTTCAGGGACAGGGGCAACATAAAATTATAGATTATGTATAGGATGAGGAGGCGGAGCAGCTGCAGGACGAAAACAGATCACAAGGACCCCTGCAAAGCTGGTAAGAGAGAGGGGGGAAGAAAAAGAAGGGGTGGGGAGGGAGAGAAATTGGGGATAGTGTGAGAGAAGGGGGAAGCGATGCAGAGAGAACTAGAGGAGCAGCAGGAGGAGGAGAGAGAACCTTGGACAGAACAGCTGATATAGGTACAGTCCACAAACCGGGGATCAGAGGGAGAAAGAATGTGAGTGATCTGTCCACCCGTTACAACATTCCACCATCTGTCCACCCGTTACAAAATGCGGCAATGACGTATCCATCTGGGCTCAGGGCTTAGAATAAGTGCATCTGTGGATATCAAGAAAGTGCCAAAGGCTACCAGTGTGCAGACCTATGAGTGTATAACTGGTGACAATGACAAGTGAAACTATACAGAAGATGACAACGAGGATCCAACAAGAAACCGGAGAGATGGGGAGCGCGAGAGGGTTCAGCCGCCGCCAGGGATACCCCACCCGACCCCTGAGGAATGGCGTTGCAGTTGGGAGATACTGATTAGGACACTGTTTTTTCCACATTGAAGGACAGGAAATTGTGAGTGGGTACTTGGCAATTGATGACCCAATTACCCCTTCCACCCTGACAAGTCTATAGAGTGATTTTGGTTTAGGGGAAAAAAGTTCACTATCATCAGTGTCTATCTATTGTGTTTGCAGAGGTAGCAGGCTCTGCAAGACTGCTAGAATGAAAAAAGGTAGAGCAGCAGGCGTAATTTAATATAAAAAAACATGATTTTTCAAATAATGAAAGGAAAAAAGTTCTAGGGCACTATTACTGTGTTTCCCCAAAAATGCAACATCCACGGAAAATAAGCTAGGGCTTATTTTCAGGGGATGCTCGTAACATAAGCCCTACATAGGTTTGCAGTATTCTATTAGTGAGTAAGCTAATCTATGTTCAGGAAAGTTTCCCTGAATATAGATTTTCAGGATTCCATGCCCTAGTGAACTGGTCTATATTCTGGGAAATTTCCCTGAACGTAGACCTGCTTTCTAGCACACCTTTTTCTCTGAAATAAGTCATTCCAGAAAATAAGCCCTAGTATGTTTTTCAGGGGGAGAAATTTATATAAGACCCGGTCTTATTTTTAGAGTAAAACGGTATTCGAAAACATATGCAAAATCCTGCTGTGCACAAGACTAATTCAAACATATTTACTCTTTCTCTGACAAATGGCAAGCAGGATTAATTTTTCCTCAAACTTGGGTATATTTACAAAGTACACAAGGAAAGAGACTGCCTTTATCTCAGCATATGCTCTCATAGGCTGTATAGTTCTGGGTGGCATTACCCTACTGTAGAAAAAAGAAATAAAAAATGAAAAAGTAGGGGCGTGGCCTGCAGCGGAGCTTAATGGACGCACATTGATATTGCTCCCAGTGATCCAGGTCCTAATCCATTGCAATCTGAGAAATTACCGCACCATGGGCAACCCCAAGAAACACCAGGGTCTCAAGGACAAGGAGGGAAAACTCGCTATGACCAAAACAGGCTCCCTAAACAAATTCTTTAGAGAAAATCCAGACGGAGACACGGAGTCTGAACCCGCGGCCTACAAGATGGCCGACACAGAGGTGACTCACACCTTGCGGCCCGACAGCCCAGCTACATCGGACTGCTCACACAATGCCTCAGACACTAATATGGACCCAGACATCAAAGCAATCCTGAAAAACTTACCATCCAAACACGATCTCCAGACGATGAGCAAACTGGAGGCGACATTTATTTCTAAGATGGAAGCGATGGGCTCCGACGTCCAACAGCTCAACCTCCGAATGACGGACCTGGAGGAAGAGAAAG